AACACTGGAGAGGGTACTTGCACAACACTGGAGTCTGTAGGCGGGTCTTTTCACACGGTCAGCTTTACACAATCAAGAGGCTCCTGTAGATAGTAACAACCTAAGGGCTGCCTCTGTTGTAACATGGCCCCTAGTTACAGTAAACTTTAAAGAAAAAAAAGTATTATTTATGAGTAGAAGGAGTATACTCTAAAATAACCATTACATTTAATAGAACGGTGACATGAAGGGTAATGGGATTCTTTTGAGGAACCAGGGTTCCCCAGAGAGCCACACATATGTAGAAGATTCTGCAGGCTGATTGACCAAGTAAAACTTATGTGATTGTGGAAAATGGGAATGTTGCAGATGGAAAGCCAAAATTATCTGGGGCTATTTGTTTCTCAGCTCTGTATCTACCTCAGTGTTCTTTTTTATTTATTTTATTTTTTTTTGGTTTTTCGAGACAGGGTTTCTCTGTGTAGCTTTGCGCCTTTCCTGGAACTCACTTGGTAGCCCAGGCTGGCCTCGAACTCACAGAGATCCGCCTGGCTCTGCCTCCCGAGTGCTGGGATTAAAGGCGTGCGCCACCACCGCCCGGCTCAGTGTTCTTTTGATACTGGTGGGTTTCAGGGTTCTGTGATTACCTCTGAACGGCTTCCGTGTGCTTGTGTCTCAGAAAGATGGAGACGTGTGGATGGTTGGTAGCAACTAATGGAGAGCATTCATTGGGGAAGAATACACTTCCATGGGAGGAGTAGGCCAGCACTGAGGGCAAGTCTGCAAGCTTAAGGGCAACCACTGTGCAAAGGGTGGGGGTTTTTACGTTGCACAGTGTGGCTTTTGGCTCATTTGCATGGCACAGGATTTCTCACAAATGCAGTTACCGGCTCTGCATACTCCATGCGTTTAAAATTAGCATTTTAAATCTCTACCCAGGGGGTGTGTGTTTTAGTTTTATAATGAGCTGCAGATCACCTTCACACAGTCTGGGATGCCCTCTGTGCTCCAGCCAGTTCTAGTTGTTTTGGGTGCAGTGTGTTGTGTTGGAAGAGGGAGGGTTCCAGCCCTCCTCTTGCCTGATGGATCTCTTTCCCGTGCCGACTGGGCAGCTTTTATGGCTCTCACTCTCTGACCTGTTCTCCCCCATTGTTTTGACTACCAGGTGAAGGCGTTGTAAGGCACTAACCTAGCAGACCACTAGCTTCCACAAACGCAGAAACTAGGAGCATCATCATTAGAACCTATAGCCGAGCTTTCCCAGTTTGCTGTGACCTGCTCACCAATGTGTTTGGTGGAATGCATTGATTTAGTCTTTTGTTCTGTGACTGCAGAGTCGATGTAGCCACCTCCATGGTGGAGTGTGTCATTGGGGGCAGCTTGAATCTGTGTTTCTGGGTCATGGTCACTCACACTGGGCTCCGAATAGACTATTACTCCCTTTGGAGTGAGAGCTGTTTTGCGTTGACACACCATGTTCAAGCATCACGTGGTGTACACAGTGGATGTGCTGAGCTTCATTCAGCTAGCAGTCGGTATAGGAGGTGTGTTCACACCAGCATCGGCAGAAACGTGAGTGGTGGGCTGTGTTACATGCCGTGACAACTTCTGAGTGAGAATTCTTCAGCTCCATTGTCCTTGACTGAAACACCTGGCTAATTAAAAAAAAAAAAAATATATATATATATATATATATATTTATTTATTTATTTATTTATTTTAGTTTTATGTATAAGAGTCTTTGCTGGCATATATGATTGTGTGCAAAATCCAGGAAATCCAGAAGAGGGCATTGGATCCCCTGGAACGGGAGTTACAGACAGTTGTGAGCCACAGGGTGGGTGCTGGAAATGGAACCTGGGACCTCAGCCAGTGCTCTTAATAGCTGAGCCATCTCTCCAGCCCCACCTGGCTAATATTTTATGCTACATAAATAGGGCACAAATATTACCATTACTATTTTGGCCACAAGGCTCTTAGCATGAATCTAAGGGATGTTTCAAATGGAACCAAATGTTAAAATTGTCACTAGTTTAATGTGAAATGATGGGCATGAGGATGTTTGTATGGTCTGTTGAGAAGATAAGTCTTGCATCTTTTATAATGGTGTATTGCTGCAATACACCCACATTAGTGGAAATTAGCTACCAGCAACATGAAAACTGGAATTCCTTTAGTCCTCTTATTCCTGCAGACTGAAGCAGGACATTTGGCCTGGAGCTCTACTTCCATCTTTTTCAGAGTTCCCAGGGGTGCCTCTCAGTGTTCTATTGTACAAGGCATGCCTATTTTCCATGGTGGCTATTGTAGGGTGTGTGTGTGTGTGTGTGTGTGTGTGTGTGTGTGTGTGTGTGTGTGTGCATGTGCGCATGTGCACGCGTGCGCACAACATGCCTTGCTTTGCTACGTTAGTTGTGAGAGGGCAGCCCCAAAGCAGGCTGCCTTGGCTTCCATTCCTACACCAAACTTTCAATTTTTCCTCACAATGATGTCTCCTTCTATCAGACTCAGCGTTACCCATCCTATGGGCTCTAGGAACCCCAGAAAGTATAGTCCATATCTTTGTACTTAGACGCTTCTCCTGCACAACGGAGGCTTTTCTAATGGGTCAAGCTCATGCAAGCTTACATCAGATCTTAGGACATGTTTTTCTGGGAGCCATAAAACCTTTGAAAGATTACTAACCCTTTCTCAGAAAACTGTGTACAATGGGGAGATTTCACAGAGAAACTATGGGGTTATGGCTTACCAGGAAGAATCTTGCCTTTGGAGAATTTTTCTCTCAAGAACTTTCTAGCTCCAGCTGTGGATTTTGGTCTAGCCCAACTCACAAGCTGCCAGACACACCCAGCCATAGACAAGTCCCTTGTGAGTGTGGCTCAGGCCAAGCAGACGCCCTTAGAACATGCACTGCTTATTTCCCATATTCCGGAATATGTACAAGCAGGAAAGGCAAGAGTGTCTACTTAAGCCATCCCCCAAGGTCTGCATACGAAGGCCTCATTCCAAATCCAGCTAGCCAGGATTCCTGCAGCTGTGAAGGGAGAATCCCAGACAGTGTCTCTTGAAAAGACTTATAGGAGTCCCGTGTGCTTTAAAAGTCACACGTACAGGCTGGATATGGTGATACACACTTGCAATCCCAGCACTCAGGAGGCTGAGGCAGGAGGATCATGGGTTTGGTGCTAGCCTGGGCCCCACACTAAGTCTCATCGCACAAAGCAGCAGACGAGATCACACATACCCTTATACATTTCTGATTGTTGCTTTCTTGGTCACAGTCTAAATTTTATCTAGCTTCCTCTGCCCTGCGCAACATCCTTCAGCTCCTAGGTACTGTTTGTATTCATCTCTGAAGGCAGCTGTAACTAATTAACCCAAATATGGTGACTTGAAATAACAAAAATTCATTCTCCCACAGTTCTGGAGGGCAGATATTTGCCAGGAGAGCCATGTTCCTCCTAAGAGCTCTCAAGGGGATATTTTCTAGTTTTGTCCAACTTCTGATAGTTCTGGAGGTTCCACACCAATGGCTACATAACTCCAGTCTCAGACTGCAACTTTACATAGTTCTTTTCTCTTCCTGTGTGCCCCTCCTGTGTGTACCATTGAATTTAGTTAGGGTCTACCCAGCTAATCCAGTTTAATCTTCTTTGTTTGCTTCCCCAGATTTGGAGTCACCCAGGAGACACACCTAGGGGGCGGGCATATTTGAGAATGTTTCCAGGGAGGCTGATCTGAGGGAAAACAAACCCTCAAATGTGGGTGGCATCATTCCATGGGCTGGGGTTAAGGGCTAGCCAGGAAGAGGAAATGGGGAAAGTGAGTTGGGCACCAGCATTCTCTCTCTGCTCCCTAACTGAGGGCATAATGTGGCTTGCTGCCTCCTGCTCCCACTGCTACAGCCGGAACTGTTCTCGCTGCCGTGATGGGTCACCCCTCAAACTGTACGCCAAAACAAACCCGTCATGGCTTACGTTGCTTCTTTGTCACAGTGATGAGAAAAGTAACTAACACACCAGGGTACCTCATCCAAAGCTGTATAACTTGTGTAGATCTAAAAAGCGCCTCCTTTCCAAGTGAAGCTAAGTTCACAAAGAATTTGGGTTCGGTGTATGGAATGTTTTTCCAAGGGCCACTGTTCAGCCCACCCTAGTGTTGTTTGTTCATAGCTCACAGGGGCTGGCACATGCTTATAGTTCATTTGTTCTGCTGGTTTGAACTTGAACTTGGACCCAGGGGCTCTATCTGCATCATTCTAGGGCTCCATGTCTTTGCACGCCATGATTATAAAAAATAGCAGCTAAACTGATTAAATAGTTTCTTAGCTCCCATTGGGTTCCTGTTGAAGTATTTTATACCATTGTTTCAATTCACCACATTTCAAGTATGCCAGAACTTCCTAGGCATGAGCAAATACGTTTTTTTTTTTTTCCAGCCTTTTTCTTCCTGTGAATTGGGTCTTCTTAGACCTAGAGGGTCTGAAAGTAAGTTAATTTGATTGAGATAACTTTTCATGTATGAATTTCCTTATACTTAGGATAAAAAGATACGCATTTGCCGGGCGGTGGTGGCGCACGCCTTTAATCCCAGCACTCGGGAGGCAGAGCCAGGCGGATCTCTGTGAGTTCGAGGCCAGCCTGGGCTACCAAGTGAGTTCCAGGAAAGGCGCAAAGCTATACAGAGAAACCCTGTCTCGAAAAACCTAAAAAAAAAAAAAAAAAAAAAAAAAAAAAAAAAAAAAAAGATACGCATTTATAGGCTATGTATGACTGTATAAATGAGTGTATATATGTTAATTTCCGACAGTGACTGTGGTGGTTTGAATGATAATGGCCCCCATAGGCTCATATATTTGCATGCTTAGTCCCCATTGATGAAGTCTCCACTGTTTGGGAAGGATTTGGAGGTGTGGCCATGGAGGAAGTGTGTCACTGGGGGTGGGCTTTGAGGTTTCAAAAAGCCCACACCAGGCCTAATTCTGCCTATCTCTATCTCTCTATCTGCTGCCTGTGGATCAGAATGTAAAACTCTCAGATACTGCTCCAGCACCATGCCTGCCTGTCTGCTTCCTGCCATGATGATAATGGACTAACCCTCGGAAACGGTAAGCCACCTCAATTATATGCTTCCTTGGTCTTGATGTCTCTTCACAGCAACATAACAGTGACTAAGACAGTGATTTCTAAGTGTTAGCAACGTACTTTTTATTTCTTTAAAAACACAATGGGGTGGGAGCTGGGGAGATGGCTCTGTGTCGAGAGTGCATGCTCTTTTGTAGAGAACTCCAGTTCAATTTCCAGCACCAACATGGCAGCTCACAACTGTCTGTAGCTCTAGTTCCAGGGGATCAGTTCCCTCTTCTGTTCTCCATAGGCCTCAGGCACACACACACATACACACACACACACACACACACACACACACACACACATACACACACACACACACACACACACACACACACAGAGTGTACATATATACTTTGCAGGCAAAACACCTATATTAAAAAATAAATCTTCAAAAATCATATCTAGGTGTGATGTTTCTAAAAAATGAAGGACAAAATTTAAGCTTTCCTATTAAATGTGCTAGGACAGTGGGTTTTCAACCTTCCTGATGCTACAACTCTTTAATACAGATCCTTATGTGGTGGGGATCCCCAACCATAAAATTACCTTCATTGCTACTTCATAACTGCAATTTTGCTACTTTTACAAATCATAATGTAATATCTGATATTCAGGATATCTAATATGTGACCCCTGTGAAGGGCCATGCAAACCCAGAGGGGTCGCAACCCAGTCGTTGAGAATGACTCACATGTTGAGAACCACGGTGCTAGGACATATTACTAGCCTTTCAACTGGAACGGTCTTATTTGACAGGGTTAAAAGCATCAGTGAGAACAAGCTTGACTCCATGGGCAGGAACTTTGAAAAACAGCCTGTCCCTGGTGTGTGTGACATGCACGGTATGTACCTTGACGTTGAACAGCTGGCTATCTGTGATTTATGAAATGTTTGGAGACTGGAATCCCAAAACAGGAAGCCTCTGAATTTTTTCTCCCTTAATCATAGTGACAATTATTTCAATTTGCTTCATCTCCACTGTTTTTATTCCAAATTCTTTTCAAAATCATGCTTCTTGGAGCAGAGCTTTATTAACAGTTTTTAATCATCATTTATCCATTTTCCAATGAGCAAGCCACAGAACAGCCAGAAAAGAGACAGAGAAAAAAGACAAATCCCCTGTCTTCAATGCTCAAAGCTTACCACATGTGACTGATCAAGAAACACTGGTCTGCCTGGCTATGCTTTAATGGAAGTGTGCGTTGTGGTCTTGAAGTTTAAGACGCATTAACATCAAGTCTTTCAACTTCATGCAGTAATAAAAGCCAGTAAGGAGGGCATCAATCGACTAAGACAGACTCTGCTATATGAAAAAGCCTGCCCTCTACCCAAGGGAGGCAGAGTCTATGTCCAAGCAGAAAGCATGGTCAGAGCTGCCTCCTTGGTGTCAAGTTCCCTCTTCTGCAGGGACTGTGGGGCCCCTGGACATCTGTTAGATCATGTTCAAATAGGCTAAGTGCATCTGTAGAGAACTAGACAACTGGTCAACCACAGAGCTGGACACTTTCATTGTTTCAGAGTACTTTGTGTTTTACTTTGAAATTCATTGTCAACTTTGTTTTTGACTTCTTGGGCTTAGTTGTTTGAAACTCGAAAGCAGTTGTACAACAGCAAAAGTTAGCCTTATCAGTAGGTTTGTGTCACTGCTTTAGGCTTCTTTCCTTGCTGTCCACTGACTGCAGGCAGATGAGGACTGTTGATTAGAAGAAATGCCCTGTGTGTCCTTAGGAAAGAAACTAACTGGATTTTTGTTGGTGTGGTTTGTATGGTTTTCATAAACCTAGGTCCCTGCCAAATGGGATGAGGCAGGAAGAACTGAGTCTAGACTTAGAATTCAGCTGTGATTGTGGTCATACACAGCTGCAGTCAAAAAGAGACTTTGCCTCTGTCACTTGGGCACTGTGATGTCAGCTTGAAAGCCACGATTTTTTTAAAAACTGTTTTATAGGGGGGCAGCCACATATAATGATGCATGTCAGAGGTCAGAGGATAACTTGCAGAATCACTTCTCTCCTTCCACCACGTGGGTTCTGGGGATCAAATTCAGGTCATCAGGCTTGGTGGCGAGCTGAGTCATCCTACCCCAAACCATGATCTCTGAAGGACCTTCACTCTGCTGACGTGTTTGGTCTTACCTTTCCACTTGCCGAATAGGAGGTGGCTCTCAAGAGTGGATAGTGTGCCGGGGTAGAGTTGCACCCCCTGGCATTGGTACACAGAATTCTTCTGCCCCTGGCACTACCAAGAGCTTTCCATGCTACATGTGTGCTGGAAATGCAGAGAATGCTGGAAAAGTCTCCCTGCTATTAGTCCTGATAACTTCAGGCAGTTTTATGCTGAGACTCATCCATTCATCATGTTGGCCCAACCCACTTCAATTTGAAGCTGTTTTGGGACCCAAGGACCCTTTCCCACCTCCAAGCTCTTTTTCTGCCTGGAGTGTACCTACTTCTTGTCCTTTCCATCTCCACCTTTAGTCACTTCAGTGACTTAACAGTTCCCCTCCTGTCACCTAAGCTCCTCCAGGGATGTAATTAGATCCTCCCTACGGCACTCATCTCTTTCTATCTCAATACATTTTTATGTGTAGAATCATATTCATTTACGAAGAGGAGGGATCAGATAGAAAGCTGGACTCCACAGTCCTCTTTTTATATACACACCTCCTGGTAGCTACTCTCCTGTATCTTATTTTTAATCTGATGTCTTGTGGGCTCTTCTGAATCAATTAGCAGTTATTGAGAAAATGCCCAACAGACATGCGCATAGGCCTATCCGAGAAGCCAGTTCCTCAGCTAAGGCTCCCTCTTCCCGAGTGTGTCATGTTGACAGCTGAAGCTAAGACACAGCCCTCGCACTTTAATATCTATGCACTCTACATGAGTTACCGTGTGAGCTGTTCTTATGTCAACTTGACACAAGCTAGAGTTACCTGAAGGGAGGGAACCTCAACTGAGAAAAATGCCTCCATGAGATCCAGCTGTAGAGCATTTTCTTGACTGATGGGGGAGGACACAGCCCATTGTGGGTGGTGCATCCCTGGACTGGTGGTCCTGGGTTCTATAAGAAAGTAGGCTGAGCGAGCCATGAGGAACAAGCCAGTAGGCAGCTCCCCTCCATGGCCTCTGCATCAGCTCCTGCCTCCAGGTTCCTGCCCTGTGTGAGTTCCTGTCCTGACTTCCTTCAATGGTGAACTACAGTGTGGACGTGTAAGGCAGGTAAACCCTTTCCTCCCCAACTTACACTTTGGTCATGATGTTTCATCGCAGCAGTAGAGACATTAAGACAGCTACCATCTCTGTGCCTGTAAACTGGAGACACTACTAGTGCCTGCTTCCTAGGTTGTTACCAGGACTGCGTCTTCCCAAAGCAGAGCCTGACGTCACTAAATACTCAGCATCTTGCCTGTTTCTCTTATCCAGTTCACCTTCTTGTTTCTTAAGGCATTAGTCACAGTTTTAAATGCATTACAGCCAAAAGAAAACCAAGGCTATCTACACAGGGAACGTCCAGCTGCTCCTCAGATATTCCAGATGACAGTCATTAGAGAGTTGCAGCTTTGGTTCCTCTGGACACTTGATGGCACCAACGAAAGCTCCTCCCAAACAGGAGCTGGCTAGAGTGTCCCGTCCTCTCAACTTGAGTCAAAAGTTCTGGGTCTCTGCAAGTCTGTGTCCTCAGAATGGGACGGTGGAAATACCTGCCTCAGGAGCTGATAGGAAGAGGAAATGGGATCATCCACACAAGCTGCCAAGCACTCCAAATGCTCACTAGTTCTCTACCTTGTTCACAGCATCTGTCCTGGTACTTAATTGGGTTGTTAAAAGAAGTGTGTTGGTTGTCCTGGAAACCATGCAGCTAGAGAGGGGAGTTCCACCCTACCAAGAATGCAAGTCCATGTCCTTCTACCTCAAACCTGGTTAAGAGAAGCATTTTTTCTGTATGGGAACAACCAGGGCAGGACACCAGTGTCAGCAGTTGAGAGAGCAGTCAGCTCCCATGCTGAGGCATGGCTGACCACTGGTAACCGAAGCTGAGGCAGAGGAAAGCTGGAAGGATGGCTGGAAAGAGCCAGGAGGTCGCATGAGTCACCAGGGATATGGTGTGAACTCTCTGAGACCTTCTTGGGAGAAACAGATGCTGAAGATTTTTCTGGATGAGATCAGAGGCAGTAGGATTTTAGGACCACGGTTATTGGTTTTTATACCCTGGTCCCCTGGAGTGGCTTGCCAGACTGTAGCTGCCCGAGGAACCGGGGCTTTCACACAGTGAGGTTACTGATTGTGAATCTGCATTTAACTCCTGTATCTGCACTGTTCCCAGAGTCCACGAGGCAGTGATTTCCACCCACTGATCTGGACATTCCCTGCTTATATGTAATATGTGGCCATCCTTGTTATTGTGTGTGTCTTGTGTTCAGTGGTGCTCATGGAATGGCAGCCGGTGGGTCTCAGAGAACTCTGTGGCTCCCTGGCCTCAGTTTATTTTGTGAAAACCAACTTGGATCTTAACTCTCCCCTTTATTTCCACTTGGACTCTGGGTACTAAAGTAGAAATAATGTGCTGTGACCTTTAAGCAGGGCGCCAGCTGCCTCTCCACCCTTTCCTCTGTGATTTAGAACCACACAGCCAGTTCGGTAATACTTTCTGGAATTCTAAACTCCTTCCCAGCAAGCAATGACTAACGCTGAGGCATCGCCCCAAAGGTTACTGGGCAGAGCAAATGCTCCTTGGAAGCATATCCTCCAACACCCACGTCTGGCCCCATGGCAGATTTAGTTTTTTTTTTTTTGGTTTGTTTGTTTTAAAGTTCCAGTTTTGCCCTGAATTTTCAGTTCTACCCCAATCAGGGATGAAATAAAGATTTCAGAAATGCTGGGCTCTGTTCCATCCAGGCCCTGTGATGCTGAGGAGGGCATGGCTGTGGGTTGGGCTTGGCACAAACTCACTCTTGGCAGAAGCTGTCCATCATCACCATGGTTTTGCGCAGGCAGATTCAAGGGCAGCCTCGGGGGCCACAGTGGGGACAAGGAGGTGGTAAGAGAGCTTTCCCTAGGATTTTCTGAACTTTAGAAAGAAAATTAATTTTTAAAAAATGTTTTACGTATATGGGTGTTTTGTCTGCATCTATGCCTGTTCAAGGACACCAGAAAAGGGTGCTGGGTTCCCTGGGACTGGAGCTACAGATGGTTGTGAGCCACCACGTGGGTGCTGGGAATTAAACCCAGGCCCTCTGGAAGAGCAGAGTGCTTTGAACTGCTGAGCCATCTCTCCAGCCCCCAATACCCCTTCATTCTTTTAAGCCTTTCCTCTGTGCGCCTACCACCTTACCCAGAATGCTGAGCGGGAACTCAGACTTTGATGCTCCCACAGCTCCTGGGTTGATGGATTAGAGGAGACTGGTTGGGACTGGATTCCCCAGCCAGAACCAAAGAAACTCAAAGTTCCGTCAATCCTTTTCCCGTGTCTCGTGACCATCCCACCTTCCTACCCAGGAGCAGCCTATTCTGTCATGGTCAAGCCCAGGGTGCCTCAGTTTCTCCTCCAAAAATGAAGAAACTTTTGACTTTTGTCCAACCCCAGCTCTGTAATGAAAACTGGACAGGGTGGGGTATAGGGACAGGGAGGTTGGGAACTGGGTGTTTGAACAAGTTTAGGGTGCAGCTGTGGGGTGGACTGGAAATACACAGAAGACGATGCTTTCTTTGCGTACACTGTAGATTACGTCTGTGGATCCCCTCTGGCTCTTAGGAAAATTATAGCTGACATTATTTTACTCACAAGGTTGTGTTTGAGTGCTCTTTGATGGAATGGGCTATGCATAGGTCACACCTGTGTCTGGATTTTGGGCTTGTTCATCTCAACAGGGCAAGCCTAGGAAAATGTGGGCGTTAGACTGAACCATGGAGGGAGATGCAGGGAGAGAGTGGGGTGTATCCAAAAGGCGGTGGTGAAAGTGGGGATGGGGTGTGGGCGGCCTTGGTTTGTACTTCAGTTACGTTTGCTGTTGACTTTACGCCTTTCCTGGATCTGGAGTCGCGGTTGCCTGGCCGGCCCCGGGTGGGTCAGTGATTTTACTGCACCCTGTGGTTGTCCCCACCGTTTGTTCTTGAAAGTGGGGCGGGCAGCACAGGAACTCCCCAAGTTTAATGTCCATTTATAATTGTTTTTTGTTGCTGGAACCTTCCTTTTGGATAAAAAGATGTTGCTTTATTACTGAACAGTCCCGCCCCACAGGGGTGAACACATCCTTCTCTCTGTTCGTTTATCTTGAGAGGGGAAGGTCATTTGCACAGGCAGCCAAACAGCAAGAAAAGTAAATCTTCTTATTCCTGCCTCTTTCTCCCTACAGATGGGTCTGAAATTCTTGCTCAGAGACATATGAAGTGGCTATGCTGAGAGGAAATTATATCCGGCTTTCTGTTTCTGCTCAGCGCTTTCCCCTGGGTAAGCGGACCCTTTGAAGTAGCCCTTTCCTTACCTCAGATTCTGACATGAGCAACTGATCATCTTTCAGTCTACCCAAGATAAGGAGCCGGTCTCAAAACTGTGTAACTCTCTTAAGTAAACAAGAGCCAACCCCCCGGGGCACTTCTCCAAGGAGGGAGAGAATTTCCCACATGTGTTACACATTTTATTCTTCCCTAAACGCTTTGCTCTGCATCATTGTGTTTAAATTGGATAATGTCTACATGAAAGGGATGTGTCAATTGTATCAGTAACAAAAAAGGTAAGATTTTGTAACAATTATGGATTTGATTTTTCTATACAGACATCTGAGGCAAGAGAATTTTAACTGCCTTCAATTGCCCACTGAAGGGAAATGGAGCTCTGACTGGGGTCTGTTTTCTAATCCGGTTTGTGTTTTCTATTCTGTAACAGACGCCACCCACCTGGGGATGTCAAAAGAGAAAATCCAGGGTGCTGGACAGATGGCTCCGTGGCGAAGACCACTGGCTGCTCTTGCAGACAACCAAGGTTTCCTTCCCGGCACTCATGTGGGTGCTCAAAACCATCTGTGATTCCAGCTCCAGGGCATCTGGCGCCCTCTTCTGGCCTCCATAGATACTGCAAATACAGGATGCACATACATACACTTAGGCAAACACTTGTAAACATAAAATAAAAATAAGGAAACCCAAGGCAGGTGTCAGAGGAAGAATACACATGAGAACACAACAGTCCACCCTGGAAGGTCCTGACTGGTGTCCCTTGTGGCTCTAGACTGGTCACCAAAAATGCTCCAGGCTGCTGACCAAAGGGCAGGTTACATTTATAACCAGAGAGAAGGCAATAAGGTGAAGAAATTGGACGAGGTGGAGATGATCTGTCTTATTTGAACTGTTTGGCTGGCTGTTGGTGAAAGGCCAAGGCTCTGTGATTTATTACAAGGTGGGTTCCACATCACCTTAGGCTGCAGTTCAGTATTTATGCAGAAACTTTTGACCAAACTTAAAAATACAATCCTGTACTGGCTGGTTTTATGTCAACTAGACATAGGCTAGAGTCATCAGAGGGGAGGGAGCCTCCACTGAGAAAATACCTCCAAAAGATCAGTCTGTAGGCAAGCCTGTTGAGCATTTTCTTAATTAGTGATTCATGAGGGACAGCCCAGCCCATTGTGGTGGTGCCATCCCTGGGGTGGTGGTCCTGGATTGTATAAGAAAGCAGGCTGAGCAGCCATGAGGAGCAAGCCAGTAAGCAGCACCCCTCTATGGCCTCTGCATCAGCTCCTGCCTCCAGGTTCCTGCCCTGCTTGAGTTCCTGTCCTGACTTACTTCCGTGAAGAACAGCTATATGGAAATGTAAGCCAAACAAACCATTTCCTCCCCAAGTTGCTTTTGGTCATGGTGTTTCATTGCAGCAATTGAAACTCTAACTAAGACACACTCCCAGACAGCTTTAATCCAAACGGGTACAACGGGTATATCCACTGTAGAGACAAGAACCACCTTGGGTCCCTCACAGCCTTCCCAGAGGCGGTCCTGAAGTGAGGCCCTTAGGACCCTCTCTTGATCTGCTTGCCTCTCCCTCATCCTGCTGTCTCCCCTCAAAGCTGCTCACCTTTTTCTCTTGCTTAATTGCTGTTTATCAAGATTTTGGAAGATGTAGCCCAGGCTAGGGCAAGAGCCTTACGCTATCCCATATATATGCATTTTCTTTAAAAAAAAAAAAAAAAAAAAAACATCTGGAATTAGCTCATAATCCATTTCCACTTTGGGGGGAGACCTTAGTCAGTCTTTCTGGTGGGCTGTTGCATTCAGCTCCAAGTGTGTCCCGACGTGGCTTAGAGCAGCCCCCCTGCAGCAGCAGCTGGAGTCACTTCCCTCCCACAGAAGCAGAGGCAGCAGGATGCAGCAAGCCTGCATTCAAAAGAAATCCTTCTGAGGTGATGGAGTGAGCAAGGAGTGATTGGACAGTCAGCTCTCAGAACCAGAAGAGGTCAGGGTGACTTGGGCTGATATGTGGTTGAATAGCATTTGCGGACAGAAAAGGGGAGGTATTTGTATAGAATTTGGCCAGCACAGAGACTAGCTGGCCACTCAGCTTCTGCGATTGCCTGGCACTCAGAGGTTGGTTGCAAATTCCTGAGTGAGGTTTTAAGTTGGTGTGCCAAGTTTGGTTGCGGTTCACATGCAGGACTGTGCCGAGGCTTTGAAAATCCTATTCAGTTTAACTCAACACCATCAAGACCACGGAACCCTGCATGTTGACTGATACTCTGCTTTTTGGACTATTACTGTGTGTACATAAGAATAAATAGTGTGTGACTCTTATGCTTTCTATGAGGTACTTAGATCCACCACAGAAAAACAGAGGTTACCAGGGGCTGGCACAAAAATGGGAGTGGTGTGTGTGTGTGTGTGTGTGTGTGTGTGTGTATGTGTGTGTGTGTGTTATATATGTGTGTCAGGATGTTTGCACCTGTGTGCAAGGCCAGAGGAGGCTGTCGAGTGTCCTTCTCTATTTTCGTTCTTTGAGATAAGGATGTGTCCCTGAAGCTGGAGTTGGGCAGTGGCCCTCCAGCCCTAGCAATCCTCTGCCTTTGCGCCCACAGTGCTGGCGGTCTGTGTTCTCTGTCATATGTGGCTTTTCATGAGGATGCTGAAGATTTGAATTCAGGTCCTCATGTTTGTGCAGCAAGAACTCTTGCTCACCAAGTCATCTCTTCAGCCCCCTGGAAGCAGAGAAATGCAGCTTGGAAAGAAGAAAATGTTACAGAGATACACAGTGGTGACTGTTACCACAACACGAATATATCTCATAGCACTGAGCTATACACTTAAGAGTGTGTAGTTAAAAATTTTATTACAAGTATTCTAAGACAATTAAACAAACTTGAGTGTGCAGTGATTTCTAGGGGACAGATAGGCCTGGAGGAGAGCTTAGAAGACCCCAGACCATTCCCAGGGAGGACACCCTCTGGGTGAGGCTCCATTGACGTAGAGGCCAACTTGTCCTGTGCAAGAGACCTACTCCTCACCTCTGCAGTATGTGAGCACTCCTCAGTGGACACATGGCATCAGGAAGATGAAGTACACATGTCTGACTTCTTCCAAAGGACCATCCATCAGGTAGAACATCCCTTCTGAGCCACTCGATGGCATTGAAAACAAACCATACCCATCAGGGACTGCAAGGGTAACTCCTCAAGTCATACCATCCTTCCAGAGTGTAAGCAGAGATGCCCCAGGACCACAGTTGACTGCTGCTAGGATTTGAATAGTATCCCTTAACGGTACATGTGGTAAAGGCTTAGTCTAACAAGGTGGTACTGGTGGGAGGTAGTGCCTAATGGGATTTCCTTGGGTCATTGGGTATGTGCCCTTAAAGAGAACTGTGGGACACCAACCTCTTCCTTGGTTCCTTTGGCTTCTTAACCTTCAGATAAACAGTTGCATCCCCCTGCACTGCCCATTCTTACTACCCAGTCCTCTCATCAGAGACCCAAAGCACCATGTCTGCGGATTTTGGACACAAGCCTCCAAAACCGTGATGGAAGACTGACCAATATCCCAGAGGCTACAGGACAGAAGCTTGTCCTCGTCACTTCTTTACTAGCAGTTCTAGGACCGTTTTCAGAGGCACCAAAATTAGTTTCACGCTCTTCCTCTCACACAGCCCTATACCTCACAAGGACGTTCCAGTCGGTGAAAGGCTGCGCAGATGGTGTGAGTCTAATAAAATATAATGGAGCCAAAAGTCCCCAGTGCTCAGGGATGTTGTAACTGTGATAACATCAGGATGCAGCGCAGTTCCGATGTGCTGCGTTGGTGCTGGCGCCAACAAGCCTGCCCTGTGGTCCCCTGTACAGAAACAGTACATATGTGTGTGTGGCATGCAATGCCTGACAACGATAGTAGATGACTGTGAACTGGGTTATGTATTTGTCATGCTGTGTCTTTATTGCTATTTGAACATGCACTGCTTGAAGACAGACCCGCAACGCCGGCAGCCGCCTCACGCGTCTGATTATCTCATCTCCAGCTGCATCCTCTTCTCTTGTACTTGACTCAAAATCATGTTGTTCCATTTGTCGTAGTCCCAGGAGCAACTCTCCACACCCCATGCAGCATGGACGCACAGCCATCAGGGTGTGTTAAATGTATGCTGTGATGTGGGAAAGTGCTTGTTAGGTCTTGTGAGCCTGTCACAAACTAGAGCCACCTGGGAAGCGCGAACCTCAGCTGAGGAATTGCCTCCATTAGGTGGGTCTATGGGTGTGTCTGTGGGACAGTTTCTTGATTAATGAGGGTGCAGCCCACTGTGGGAGGTGCCACCTCTAGGCACGTGGTCCTGGGGTCTTAGTTTGGGTTTCTGTTGTTGTGAAGAGACATCTTGACCATGACAACTCTTATAAAGGAAAACATTTAATTGGCAATGGTTTACAGTTTCAGAGGTTTAGTCCATTATCATCATGGTGGGACATACAGAAGGACGCAGGCAGACATGGTGCTGGAGAAGGAGCTGAGAGTTCTACATCTTGATCAGCAGGCAACAGGAAATGGACTGTGTGCTGGGAGTAGCTTGAGCATATGAGACCTCAAAGCCCACCCCCACAGTGGCACACTTCCTCCAACAAGGCCACACCTACTCCAACAAAGCCACACCTCCTCACAGTGCCACTCCCTATGGGGACCATTTTCTTTCAAACCCCCACATCTGGCTTATATAAGAAAGTAGGCTGAACAAACCATGAAGAGCAAGCCAGGGAACAGTGTTCCTTCATGGTCTCTACTTCAATTCCTGCTTCTGGGTTCCTGCCTTGAGTCCCTGCCTTGGTGTCCCTTGATGATGGACTGTAATCTGTAAGCTGAAATAAACTCTGTGCTTGACAAATTGCTTTTGGTCAGTGTTTTATCACAAGTCTCAAACAGCAAACTAGAGCAGTGACCAGTGCTGAATTACCTGCTGATACAGCCTTCAGAATGTATCCCTGTCACTAAGTGACACATGAGCACATACTTTCTTTGTTAGGCCCAGCTAAAAGTTTTGCCAATTTCTTTGCTTATTAATTACTGCCTTTGGCCAGGCAGTGGTGGTTTATTCCTTTAATCCCAACACTCGGGAGGCAGAGTCAGGCAGATCTCTGTGAGTTCGAGGCCAGCCTGGTCTACAGAGTGAGTTCCAGGACAGGCACCAAAACTACAGAGAGAAACCCTGTCTTGAAACGCCCCCCCCCCCCCAAAAAAAAGACTGCCTTTGGCTTTTGATAGTTCCCTCTAATACATTTTCTTCTTATTGGACCATGTCTTCTAGCTGATGGGCTGGGGGCTTTTTCATCTCATAAATGTTCAAAAATATCTGAGATTTCCCCACATATTTGAATAATAATTGGATCAGGTGGAAAATTCTAGAACAGTTACTTCTCCACAGCATGCTAGAAGGAACTGTGCTATTCCTACCAGATCTCTCCAAAGGTGGCTTCTGGTGTCTTGACTCTTATCCATACTGTGTACTTTCAGAAAATGGTTTTATTTTATAAAGTAAGTGTGTTTGTGTGCGCATGTTCGTGCATGCATGGGTACACGTGTGTGTGTGTGTGTGTGTGTGTGTGTGTGTGTGTGTGTGTGTGTGCAGATGCCCGTGGAAGTTGGAAGAGGGAGTTGGATTCCTTGCAGCTGGAGTTCCAGGTGGTTGTGGCTACTGAAATAGGAGCTTGGACCTCAGGTCCTACACAAGAGCTGTAATTGCTATTAACCTGCGGGCCATCTCTCCAGTCCCCTATTACTTACTTTTTTGTTTCTGTGTTCCATTCTTTACCTCTTGGGCTGTTTCTGGGACATCTACCACTCATGTTCTCATATCAGTTGGGTTTTGTGCCAACTGTTGAGTTTTCTGTGATAAAGACACACATTAACACTCATGTGCAGACTGCTGAGGGAGAGCAGGTGGATGTGGCTGCCTTTCTGTGATCTACCCAGGCAGAGCACCCACGGCTCCTTTCTTCTCCCAGAAAGTACCCTGTCTGCTGTTCGAAGCCCTTGTGCGCCACCATTGCACCCACTGGATGGGTCAGACACCGGGGCTGCCTCTGTTTGATCAGACAGCAGGCCCCTTCCACTCAACTGAAGCTGTCTGTTCCCTTCCGTCTCATCCTTTCTGTCTTTTTGGGGTGTTCGGTTTTTAGTTCCCTCCTAACATTTTGAGAACCATCACACACATTTTCTATCATGTCTGGAAACTTGGGGTTTTGTGTTTTTGCTGTCACTTTGAAAAAAAAAAAAGGGAGGGTTTGAATGAAATCCTGGGAGTTGACGATGTAAAGGAGATTAAGCCATGGCCTGTGCTTGAAGAATGGCCACCACAGAGGCAAGCATTCCTGTCCTTCAGGGGCTGGGAGGAGCTACAGAGAGCACAGTGACTCTGTGGGCTGTGGTGTCGCTCACTGGGGTCAGTCTCGGGACTCGATGTCAACAGCACAAAACAGTACCACCAGCTCAATAGGCTTCCACAGGGGCAGGTCACCTTTTCTTTTCCTTCATTTAGAAACTTGGGGCACTTTGAGGACCTGCCTTGAAATTCATATTTTTATTCTAAGAGTTGATTTGCAGAGATCTAAATAACCAGAAGGCTACAGACCAGAGTTCACGTTTTTTTTGTACTCTGAGCTCCTTTAAAACGACTTGTAGCTTGGTGGCTGAGCAAGCCGAAACCCAATATGCCCTTTGTAACAGCTAGCCGCTGCTCTCCAATAGCAGGAAGTTGGGGTCACTGTTTTACTGTAGCGACATTTATCTTTTATATGCAGTTAGGGGTGAAGGTTAAGCTCAGTGCACCTGGCTACTATCTGCAGAGTATATTCGTTTTTTTTGGGGGGAGGTCTTGCAGGGGCACATAAATGGCTAGATGAGGGGGATATTACTTTGTGCCCAGATATCAGGACCAACTGGCCAGCGCTGTCATGAGTCCTAAGCATTGTATCACTGAGTCTCCGCTGGAGGTCTGGGAAATAGCTATCTTCCTGGAAGTATGGAGGGCACACTCCCTCCTCCCAGATCAGGATGCCAATCTAGTCCTGAAGCCACCCAGGGGGAGATGACTGGGGTCAGGTAGCTCACTTCTCCAGTAGTTCTAGCACCAGAGAGCGCAGATGTGTCCAGATGGCTCAGTGGCCTTCACACCGGGCATGCTGCTGCTTTTTCTCACAGTTAGACGTCTTGGTCAGTTAGTAAAGCTGGCTTTTTAAGCTATAATTTGCAAATAATTTTTATTCAGTGTGTCATTTGGCTCTAACATTTTCTTTGTCATTTATGACAAGCACCCAGCCCTATAGGATCGGAAGGTGTGTGTTGTGCCCATTGTTTGGATTGCCCCGACTTGACAAAGGCATTCCAACTGTTTTTACTTTCAGGCCATTATTAAAAAATGATCATTTTAGCCAGGCGGTGGTGGCACACGCCTTTAATCTCGGCACTTGGGAGGCAGAGGCAGGCAGATCTCTGTGAGTTCGAGGCCAGCCTGGTCTACAGAGCGAGATCCAGGACAGGCTCCAAAGCTACACAGAGAAACCTTGTCTCAAAAAACCAGAAAAAAGTGATCTTTTTTTTTTTTCATTCTCATGATGTTTTTATTAACAAGATTATCAACACAGACAAAAAAAACTGAACATTTTTGTGTAGGTTATTGCATATACAGATCCATGTTTGCTCAGGGTATGAGGGAGGGTCCTGAGGTTGGGACCACAACCTGGTTAGGGAGAAGGGGTCCGGTAGGGTCTTCAGGACTTCCCAGTACTGAACCCCCATTTCTGCTCACAGGGCTGTGGAATTTGTAAGTATCAGAAGCCTGCAGAGGCTTCTGGATCAGAGTTATCTGTTGTCTCTCAGGACTCTTTGGTCCCTGATGACACTGTTGCCATGGTGAAGCCACAGCTCCAGAAGAACACGATGCCCAGTACCTGTGCTGAACTCACTCCCTTCCACAGTGGCAAAAAGCCAAGCGTATTACAAACAAATTCTGTTGTTGATGTTTTGACCGCAGCAGCCTCCCTGGAGTCTTTCATCTAGCTGGCATGAAGATGACAGATTCTAATGAAAAAAAAAAAAAAGCTGAGCAGGATTTTAGGATTTTATCCTAAAAACACAAACAGGGAGACCTAAGAGACCCCACAGGAGCCCTGCAAAGAGTTCCAAGAGCAGGAGATTCTGGTAGCTACCACAAAGTCCTGCAGAGGAGAAAGCGGGCCTGCTGCATGCCGTGCACTGTCCCACCTGGCAGACCAGAGCCTCTGTAGACTCTGCAGACAGCGCTAGATGCAACCATGACTGATGAGGCCACATTGTGCCCTGACTATGAAGAAGGACCAAATGGGGCTGCACACCAACAGGGTAATGTCAGCCTTGAGCTTCCCCGAGATCTGACACCCCTGTGAAAATGCCATCAAGCTTTGCGAGAAGCATTGGTAAAGTCTCCCAGAGATCCATCAGGAACGTTGTCATCCAAGAGGGCAATGGCACTTGCTGAGGTAATGTGGACTATGACTGGGGACATCCAGTTCCACCAAGCCTTCCTGTGCAAGCCAGTTATCCTCAGCTTATCTTGCGGCATTCCTGCATTTACTTGAACAAAAGCTCTGTCATCTTGACTGGGGGCTTTGACATATGGACAGCCTCAGAGAATGTGAAGGGAGAGCCCCCAAATGAAAGTCCTAAGGAGGAGCGTGGTGACACCAGTGTGTTGTGGACCCTCAAAAGGAGCTTGATGCCCATCCTGTAGAATACCCGAAGAAGACACAGACTGGGACATACAGGCCAGGCCTGGTACAGAGTTTGGAATGGACAAATACACTAACTCAACAGTCCAGAAATAGGGTGTAGAGAAAAGCCAGCAGTCAGTTCAGTGACTCTGTTGACCAAGAGAAAGCTCAGGTTCTGAGGATGCATTTGGATTACCCTTCCAGGTTACAGTCCATCACTGAAAGTACGAATGTGAAGCAGAAACCACAGAGGAACACCGTTTGCTGGCTCACAGGAAGGCTTATGCTTAGCTACCTTTCCTACACAGCCCAGGCCCACCTGCCTAGGGGTGGTGACACCCACAGAGGGCTGGACTCTCCTACATCAATTAACAATCAATAAAATGCCCCCACAGTCATACCCATGGACCAATCTGATCTAGGCAATCCCCCAGGTGACCTTTGGCCTTCAGTCAAAGCTAACTAGGACACCAACTCATCTAGCTTCTGGGCCAACTATGTAAACATTTCCTAATTTAAAGGTTCCTCATTTGACCGATATTCTTCTGTTAGATGTGTCAAAAATGAAAACTAAACACGCAGTAACATCATATACATATTTTATGGGTGATACATTGGCATCAACAGCTTACAAATCATTTTATTTTACCTCATTTTCAGAATGGCTCCACAGGGAGAGCCATAGAAGCTGTTATTCCTCTCATTTTAACTGGAAGAAAACATGGGTGGTGTTGATCTAGGGTAAAAGCGTGGGTAGGCAGGAGCAAGCTGTATCGAGTCACGCAGAGCTGGGAGGATGTGCCTGTCTGTGGGATAGACAAATGTTTATTGAATGAACGAATCAAAAAGCAGAACAATGACAGAAAAGAAGGGATGTGTTTTTAGTTATTGCTATGGTTTGTCTGTGGTTTGTCTCCTCTAAAACCCCGCTTTCTAGAGTTTTAAGCCCCACTGTGAGATATTAACGTTGGGAGGATGTGGGACCTTTAAGAGATGACAGGTCCTGCCCCCATGAGTGGATGACTCAGTTCATAGATGTTATGGTTTGAACACCGAGTGCCATCTGCCCCAACAGCTCGTGTGTGGAAGGCTCAGTCCTCAGGTGTGACACTACAG